TCTTTTTGCACCCTTTATATTATTAGGGTATATTGCTACATTTAGGGATGAAACTGGTTCGGATAGTTTCCGTCCGTCCGGACCATTTTTCGGATTCGGATAGTTTCGATCAGAACTATCCGGAAATTCTCGAATTTGGAAACAAATTCGGATTTTTTTTTCTCGGAAACGAAAACGAATACAGTAAGGGTACTATCCGTCGGAATCAGAAAACGGTCGGAAACTATCCGGAATTTTTTTCGGATATCTGCAGACATTGATAAAATTTTAGAAAAAACATGTATATATACATAACTTTTTCATACGGAATTAGATAAAGACAAACTTTATATCAATATTGTAGAGCTCGATGAGATCTACAACTTTCTTATTGACTATTTTATTATTTGAGATCATTTAAGGGTTTAAATATTTATTATAATATACCATATTAATTTTTACAAATCTCAGATTTACAATTCAAACGACATCTGATGGAGATGTGTTCTATATCAAAGTTGTAGAACTCGACGGGATCTACCACTTTGTAGTTTATAACATTTGTATTTGAAAGCATTTAAAGCATAAAACAAATATTGCAAGTTTCAAAGATGTAAAGTAAAATAAATAGCATCTCCAATTTATACAATGGCAAGTAAGTTATACATCTAGTAAAAGGTCTTGAGAATTGAAAATGATAATCATATTTGCATATGGAGGAACAACCATTAAAATTGATTTTTCACATACGGTTGTGAGACCATCTACAAAATTGACGATATAAATGTTAGAGATGTTAAACAAAAATAATAAGTGATATCTCTTTCTTGATCAAGAAACTCAATTTGAGGGGCTTTTTATATACCGGTAAATATTCGCTGCCGTATTCATTCTGTCTCGTATTCGCCCCGTATCTGTATTCGATAATATTCGATTTCATTTCCGTATCTGAGTTTTTGATTCTGATTCCGATTCCGAAAAAAAATATGAAAACGAATATGATAAAGCTAGTTTCCGTCCGTTTCCGATCCGTTTTCATCCCTAGCTACATTCTCTTTATAGGGAAAGCCCTCTTCTAAGAAACTAATAGAAAAGGCTGACAATCAGCGTGAAGATCTGTTCCCTTGTTATTATTTTCATACAAATTGTATCAAGCAACTTTTACGGAACAAATATTAGGTTTTTTAATTCTTTTGTTCAATAAAAACATCAAGGTATTGAATGGTTTTGGAGGGAGTTCTTTTATTTGGAGGGGGGTGGGGGTGGGAGAGACACTGTGCGCTGACAACAATCACAAAAATGCTGCACCAATTTGAGGATGATCTTTATACTCTATTGAGCACATCCTCTTCAAAAGAAATAATCATGTACCTCCCTCAATGTATACATTTAAGCTCCACTAAAGATTTGGATTAGTTAAAAACTTAAATATGATAATCACCTCAAGATTGATCTACTAATTAAAACGTGTCTTGAATGTTCTTAATTATTACTACCAAGTTCCAGTAGAATTCCAGTCAATCTAGTTACTAGTTAGTACTACTCCATACTCATGAAGAAAATCGTTTAGAACAATGTTTAAGTCAAACCTTGGGAATATAAATCATGAATAACTCTCAAGATGTTGAGTTTGAAAATGTAAAAATTATATATTTAGATTTGTCTTGAAAAATACTTTCATAAAAGTATATATATATATCACTTTTCAATAAATATTTTTATAGAAATAAGAAGTCAAAGTTGTGTTTTGGAGACCGTGTCGCTGTCCTAAACGACTTTCTTTACGAGTATGGAGGGAGTCTAGTAGTATGGTTAATTTCGATGTCGGTGTGTATTCCTGCAATGAACTTCACCAACTGTCCTCCAGACAGGTGTGGACAAGCACCTCTCCTCGATCCACACATATGTCACGCAGTAGAGAACAACACCAAGCTTGCTCGATGGCCAAACACTGTAATGGAAGCTTCATTCCCGATGCATCCTACCCCTAACAAGTTCATGTTAGTGATATATATGTTTGCAACATATTTTTGAATAATCAACTTAATAAGATTTCATCATTGAAGAAATTAAATTTAGCTACTGAGCATGCATATAAGACAAATGGTAAGTCCTTATACATATTGTGTCTGTGGACATATGATAATGGATGGATAAATGGATGCAGTTCACTACCTTCCATATATAGTCTTTAGAACTATATATGGCCAAATAGGCCACCCGGGCTGCACACATGGCCCAGGCGTGGCCAGTAAGACTCAGACTGTGCTGGGCCAGCCTAAAGGCACAACAACCCATCGTTCTTCTCCACAAAATAAGTGTATTTTTCCTCCCTAAACTCTGTGGGCCGTATCCATATGGCTGGAAAGAAGTCTATTTTGTATTCCTCTTGTCTTTGGGCATTGTCTTATATTGTTAATTAAGTCTATTTTATATTTCTCTACTATTTTTTTTTCGATCGTGCCGTGTCAGGCCGGCCCACCATGCCGAGGGGAGCGGCCCAAGCACGACCCCAGTTGGGCCGTGCCGTGCTTGAGCTGGGCCAAATTGGCATGCCTTGGGCCGGGCCTCAGGCCATATTGCTATCTATATTCAGAACCCATCCACTAATTTGCTATCTGACTTTTTTTTTCCGTCTATATATTAACCGTGGCATGGTGCCCGGGGGTGGGGGGGGATACATCTCGATGCTTTGCTAGGTCGCTCTAGCTAGCTAGCCAGCCAACCGCTCCATTCCAATGGCTATGCATCCACGCCTCTTGCCGCCAGTCACCATGCACGGCTGCAATTAAATCTGCAAGTGAAACATTGATTGACGCTGACGATCATCTGGTTGCATCTACGTGTAAAAGAGAATGTGAGAAGCAGCACCAGCACATCACGTTCGTCGTCCGATCTTTCTTCATCCTTGCCACAGCTCAATCCAATTTGCCATATGTTGTTAGTGAGTAGTGACAAGCGAGGACCTTTTAGCTTACTTTGTTAGGTTTCTTTCTCCGATCCTCTTCTCAGAGCTTAGAGATTGAGCTTGGATCATTGGACGAAGCTGCATCAAGCCCATTTTGCCGACTCACTTGCCATATGCATCCATGATCAACTAATTGTTGAATGGTAAGATTTACACCAATATTTGTAGTTTTGCAGCCTTTGTAATTTATATGAGTTCAACCACTAATTAAAAGCATTACTCTTTTCATTAGTAATTTAACCTGCCCTTAATATCATGTCATTGAGAAAGTTTGTATCGGTTGGCAAAAAAAGGAAAAGGAGAGGGAAAACAGTGGATGATTTGATAGAATCATAGAAGAGGGCAATGGATAAATTTTAAGGTAATATTATAAAGCCTATTACGTAAATATTGTTTTTGACGTAATTCAAGTGCTAAGCAGTAACACCTTATATATCTATATAAATTATTATTTAGATGTTATATTAAGGGGCTCCTATTTTGATAGGAACATTAATAGCTCACTTCGACGGTAGAAAATACTCACCATACTTTGTGGAGAAAATATGAAGGAGGAGAAGAACCGTTCATCCTCACTTCATTATCTTCTTAATTAAAAGTATATAGTGTTTGTGTATATGCGCTGAATTCGGAAGTAGATTCAGAAATGTTTTCCATTGGTTACACCTTTAGACATTGTTTACAAATTGCTTGTTCAAGAAACAACCGAATTTTATTGTAGCACACAAGGACTAGTCTGCTCCCTGAACAGATAATTGGACTTGGATAGGGGCTTCTTTCCTGATGCATCCTAACCCTACCGCACACTGATTTACTAGCTAGAGGTTATCTTTCTGCATGAACAGAAGTCATCACTGCAGAAACTGAATTAGTTCAATGTGAGATGAACTGGTGAGGATCAGTCTTTGTGTATGGATGTACATAAATGGATGTGGTTCACCGCATTTCATGGGCTTCAACAGCCTTCAATTAGTTGATTTGATATATGATAGCTTTTCATTTGGAGAGTACTATTGGTGAAATGGAAGAGAGACAGTGGAGAAAAGATAATTGTTGCTACATATGACAACAGTGAGAGTCAACTTTTAGCATTTATCAAAGGAAATTTTGATGTATGGAGTGAAGAAAAGAAAACAAGAGTGATAAAAAAAATTATTTCGGTGCAGTAATAATTAAGAGGCTTTGTTGTGTCAACTATTATAGAAAGATAGTTTTTAAGTGATATTTATTAGATATATAAGAGCTTTCCTACATGCCTTACATTAATTCTGCAAGCTTGGTTAGTTTCTACCCTGCTCAAATAATTAAATATAATTAAATTATAACTAAATTAATACTTCGTTGTAAAAAGGATGATGTACTACAGTACAGTGTGTAGGCAAACACTCAAACTATAAATCATAAATAAACACAAAATATTCAGGATTTAAATCACCAAATATCAAATCCAATATAAATTAAATGTCTCATTTTGTTCATCACAAAATATATAAATCAAAACCATTGATTTCACAGGATTGAGCTCAATTTCAAGCAAGAGAAAGGACATGAAGACAAACTCACTCGATCACTTGTATTAATCGATTACCTTTTCTTTTGTTGTAATAGTTTTTTTTTTTTTGCTTTCGTATAATTATGTTCGATTCGCTTGGCTTTGATACGGAAAAGAACCCATACACTAAAATCACACGTTTCTTAATTTTGTGCAATCTAGTGTGTTAAAGCTTCATTGCTGAACACTTTTTAACTGCCAGAGCATATTTTCTAACAATATTTGTTCTGAGCTCTTCTTTTTCTTTGTCTTGCAAATTGGATCACTATACAAGCCATGGAAATAAAGATCAACAGATTTTGTTACCTTGCGTAACTCGACGTCTGTTGACAGTATACGCATTAATTTTCTTGCACGGAAGAATCAAAACAAGTTGAAAAAATGTGGTGCATACAGTCCACTTTAACAAACTTTTATCCATATCATGTCCAAATCGATTAGGTGTGAGTCACAATAAATGTTCTATGCAAACAAGCTAATCACAATTATGAACAGCAAAAAAAATTGTGTCCGTTCTTGAGATCACTTTAGTCTTTATAGCTATATATAGAAACCACCCATAGATAGCTATCCCTCTCATAAACAAATTGATAGTTAAGATTTTCTGCAACAAAAATATGGCTTCCAACAAGGTAGTGTTCTCAGTGTTGCTTCTCGCCGTCGTCTCCGTGCTCGCGGCGACGGCGACCATGGCGGAGTACCACCACCAAGACCAGGTGGTCTACACCCCGGGCCCGCTCTGTCAGCCAGGAATGGGCTACCCGATGTACCCGCTCCCGCGTTGCCGGGCGTTGGTGAAGCGCCAGTGCGTCGGCCGTGGCACGGCCGCCGCCGCCGAGCAGGTCCGGCGAGACTGCTGCCGGCAGCTCGCCGCCGTCGACGACAGCTGGTGCAGGTGCGAGGCGATCAGCCACATGCTGGGAGGCATCTACAGGGAGCTCGGCGCCCCCGATGTCGGGCACCCCATGTCCGAGGTGTTCCGCGGCTGCCGGAGAGGGGACTTGGAGCGCGCGGCGGCGAGCCTCCCGGCGTTCTGCAACGTGGACATCCCCAACGGCGGAGGTGGTGTCTGCTACTGGCTGGCGAGATCTGGCTACTAGCTAGGCTACTGTAGCTAGCTGTGCATGTATGTGGTGTGGTTACTAAAATAATTAGTGTTTTCCTTTTGTTTGGAAGCATATGTGTGGTGAATAAATGATGAACTCCGATGTTCCTCTCTATAAATCTTGATGATTCGCTAGCTATCCGTACGTCGTTGTTCTTTGATTTGATGATGAGATTGAAAAATGGAATGTCATGCTAAGGAGGGTGCCCATGTCGGTGGCCGGAATGGTGCCGCTGCAGGGCTGTGGTGGCCATAGGGTCGTCGGCATGGTGACCGTGCCGACGGTGTATTGCTATGCAGCCTGAAGATCCCCCTCTATAGTAAGGCCACTTATTTTAGAACGAAAAGAGTGATTCTAATTTTCACATCCACGATTGCTGCGTCCCTATGTATCTGAAGACAATCTATCTATCTATTCTATATCTATACTAATTGGGCATTTTCCAGAGCTCTCACGTTATACTAATTGGGCACTTTTCCAGAGCTCTCACGTCAATCAGATTAATCTGACCATTGATTAACTAGATCGTAAAATCATGACCGTAGATTAAATATTATAACTATGGACCTTTAATTAAAGCCCAACACGTGTCTGGGCCACCATTCAATCTATACAGGCTTCCTTCAAGGTCTACAAATTGTACCCATATCGGTCTCAGCAGTCGGACTCGACTCTGCACGCGACGAGATCACAACACGGCAGGCTACGTCGATCTACTTGACCCTGCAGCCGAGGAACTCCGTCGACCGGATGCATTGGCGAGGAAGTGTTTTATCGATCCAAGATATTGATCTCTGCAGGTACGATGGCTATTTAAAATACTCAAGTGAGCAAGATCTGATTCAATCTTTTTAGGGTTTCATTCAGTTGTTTCTTACATGTTTCTCATCTAAACTAACTATAAATTAATTTAAGATTAATTAACAGGATACCTTTGTGCATTGTAGATGTAATGATGAATCATCTTATATGCATCAGTCGATTGTAGATGCGATGGTCACCGATGGATAACCTAGATTCAAACAGAACTTTGGATTTATTGATGAATATGTAAACACCTGAATTTAATTATAGGGTCAACTCCCACATCATGTAATATGATATTCTTGATTTTTTTATTTTAATTGAAATAAAGAATTAATTATGTTGCTGATCTTTTTTTTATTGCTAATGAGAAAGTTCACTATAAATTAATAACAAGTTTTAAGTGGACATTTCCTTTTTCCAGATAAGTTAAACATATATCGCTAACAAATCTGCTCCATGCTTCATCCAAATACATTTGTTTAAGTGAATCTATGATTTCTCGAAATTTTAATTTAGCATACTAATTTAATGTATGATGTAAAAGTGCTAATTAAAATCGCGTATCTAAAAACAGGAGCATAGTACCAAATTAGGAGACCAACACAAGGACAATATAGGTAGTGATTAATTCCAAAATTCAAAATTATTAAAACATGGAAATGACTTATGCTTCAGATGTGTGACGATATATATTACTTTCGAATTTTGTTATTTTCAAATCTACCTGGAAATCTGCAGATGATCTCAGCAGTTAATTAGCAGCTCAAGCTACCTGGAAATCTGTAGATGATGCGCGTGATCATGGACTTCTACATATGTGCTATACTTAATTTTTGTTTGTAAATTGTGTGTCCATCTGAAACATAAAAATATGATACCCTTAGAATACTCTAGGGTGAAATGCTATAATGGGATATCCGTACGTTTGTGGATGAAATCTGTAACCCTAATATACCAGAAGTATTTATGCGCTATTGCTGGGAATTATATATTTATAGTAATGCCGTTAAGAAATACCAATAGCCACCGCACCATCGCCGCCCCAATCTGGTCAGGGTCGTGGGCATCGACCCTGCGACCTCGAGGGAGAAGGAAGGCCCCATTGTCACCATCCTTGCAGCTGCGCGGTTTTCGGCTGACCGCTCGGGCGGCAGCGAGGCGGAGGAGGGTGGAAGACGGGGGTGAGGAGGAAGGCGCTGGTTGCCGCCGACCGTGTCGGCCCTGCCCCTGGAGCGACACGGGGCCCCCGTTAGTCCGACATATGACAAACTTTTTGTGTATGGCTTTTATTGATGTCATGAACGAACAGAATGTCCAGGAAGCAGATGGACTAGGGAGTCTAAGGCGAACTTGGTAAGATCTGGAATGGACTGTGCTGCTACAAGGATGGCAAGGGATGCTATTTGACAGGTCATGAAACTAATACCTAGTTATCATATTTAACAAGCCACGTACGTACGTAATAGAAATTACTAAGAACATTACATAAAAAAAATAGAATTTCAAGAACAAAACTATAGAAGAGAGGAACGTCGTCCATTCCACCTTTTATTACTTATTACTAGCGGTCAACCCGTGCATTGCACGGGTTACTGTGAATGACAAAATATTAAAATTTCACTGGATAATGATAAAATATATTGTTAAACTCATAAGTAAATTTTGTTTAAAAGAAGTTGATACAAAACACTTTCATTTAAATTATAGTGGCCAAAAACATAATTAGTAATTTCTTATATAACCCATTCTAATATTTCTTCTATTACTTTATGTTTTTTTTGAAATTACATAATTTCAAAATTTAGTATTAGAAATATAGATTTATACTCGTTTTGCTGTCTCTTGTGAGCATTTTGCTATAAAATAGTTTAGCAATTTTGAATTAATATGTACAGAAACAAACTTGGTTTGGATTTAACCTTTTTCACGATTTGATGATTCCTATTGTGGAGATTATGGGTACCCCATATCCACACGGCATGGTTATCCGACTAGTAATAGGGGATAACATATATGTATGAAATATGTAACAGATCATGACTTGGGTATTACGTTTCCCTGTATATTATGGAACGGCCTAAAGTCCTGGCTTGATAAGATTGTAAAGTAGATTTAGGAAACCGATACCGTGTTGGTTAAGGTTTCTATCTTGTAATCCTGCCCCCCATCCTATATAAGGTGGGCAGGAGGCCCTCTAGGGGGCATATGACACAACCTGATCGTCAGATCTATACTACACCCGGCGGATTCAAATCCCCAAACAGGAGTAGGGTATTACCTCTCATTGAGAGGGCCTGAACCTGTCTAAATCCTTTGTCTCTGCATCCATCCACTTTTAGGTCTCGTGTGCTACCCCCTTTTATTATTGCCGAAATCATGTTTCGACAGTTGGCGCGCCAGGTAGGGGTTGCGTCGAGTTTCCTATCAACAAGCGCGATGGAATCAATTTCATGAGTCGCCGACTTCGTTTTCGCTTTGGGAGTTTTCACTTCCTTTCCGTCGACCACTTCTTCAAGCTCCTCTTCTCTAACTTGATCCAAATCAGTCAGGGGGAAACTCAATCTGATTTTTATCATTATTTATCGTATTGATTTTTAATCCCAGATTAATCTCTTGCTATTTTTTGTTGTTGTTCGCATATAATTACGCGGCACTATTGAGGCGATTGATGCTGGTCATGGACTCGAGGCGTCTCAGCTTTCCGGTCGATCGGCCGCGAGTCCACTCTGCCGGCTTGTCTTCGCCACCGCCATTGCTGATAACAACAACGACTTCACCGCCGGCCTGCCTCCGTCGCCGCCGATTGGTGCCTCCGCCTACACGGCTGGCCTATTATACCGCCGCTGTTGCGCGTCTACGACTTCACCGCCGGCCTGCCTTCATCGCCGCCGACTGGTGTCCTCGCCTGCACGGCTGGCCTATTATGCCGCCGCTATTGGGCGTCTACGACTTCACCGCCGGCCTGCCTCCGTCGCCGCCGACTGGTGTCCTCGCCTATACGGTTGGTTGGTCACACCACCGTTCATGGGCATCCACGTCTTCACCGACCGGCTGGCCTTCGCCGCCGCCGACTGGTGTTTCCGCCTGCACGGCTGGCCTATTATGCTGCCGCTGTTGGGCATCTACGACTTCACCACCGGCCTGCCTCCGTCGCCGCCGACTGGTGTCTTCGCCTATATGGTTGGTTGGTCACACCACCGTTGTTGGGCGTCTACGTCTTCACCGCCGGCCTGCCTCCGTCGCCGCCGATTGGTGCCTTCGCCTACACGGCTGGCCTATTATGCCGCCGCTGTTGGGCGTCTACGACTTCACCACCGGCCTGCCTCCGTCGCCGCCGACTGGAGTCCTCGCCTATACGGTCGGTTGGTCACACCACCGTTGATGGGCATCGTCATCTACACCGCCGGCCTGCCTCCGTCGCCGCCGACTGGTGTCCCCGCCTATACGGTCGGTTGGTCACACCACCGTTCATGGGTGTCCACGTCTTCACCGACCGGCTGGCCTTCGCCGACTGGTGTTTCTGCCTGCACGGCTGGCCTATTATGCCACTGTTGTTGGACGTCTACATCTTCACCGTTGGCTCACCTTCGTTGCCGTCGACTGGTGTTTCCGCTTACACGGCTGGCCTATTATGCCGCCATTAGTGGGCATCTTCGCTTTCACCGTCGACCGCCTTCGTCGCCGCCGACTGGTGTCTTCATTGTTATTGATGGACGACTTTGTTCCCTCATTGGCCACTTCTGCCATCACCAAGGGGAATATTACAAAGCTAAGTCATCATTTATTTTATTCTTTATATGACATTTTTCCTTTTCCTCTGCCTCACGACATCAATTGGTCTTCCATTGAGTAGTGAGTCGGGGGCTACAGATGTTATATCATATTTTTTATAATATTTATCTTGATTGCTTGCGACATAATCTGAGTACAAAAGTACCTATCGAGTTATGGAGTTCTATCTTCCTATGCTTTCCATTTGGTTTGCCAATGGATGGTTGCCTTTGGGCCGATTCCTAGCACCCGGGAGCTCGTTGGATGGACCGAGTAACGCAAGGTGCTAAGTATTATTCGGAATAAATCAAAAGCATAGAGATGAGATAAATTTATTTTCTGCTCTTAATAATTGCAAAAGTACCCGAGTAGTAAATTCTGATTCGTGAAACTTTGTTCTATTAATGGCGAACTCATGTCACTCATATGCATGTCTGGGAAGTGCCTAGGCCGACTCCCGATGCTTGGGGGCTATGACTAGTCGGACAGAGCGTTTAAACGTAATGAATCATCTGCTCGGGGAAATCAAAATTGACAAGAGGAGAAATACATATTTATAA